CGGCCATTCCTACTCGATCAAAAAGCGGGTATTTTGGAGCGACTCAAGTGCAGCCCTCAGTTGGATTGGTGCGGATCCTCACAAGTACAGTCCCTATATAGCGTACCGAGTGTCCGAAATATTGGAAGCGACCGACCGCACCGAGTGGCGCTGGGTAGCATCGAAAGATAATCCAGCTGACGAGGCTACGAAGTGGGGAGCTGGACCGTATTTCAATTCCAACAGCATCTGGTACAGCGGACCTGAATTTCTATACTTACCTGAGCGAGATTGGAAGAGAAGTGATCCGGAAAAATCAGGAGAAGAAGAGCTACGAGCTTGTTACGTTCATCGGGAGATACATGTTCCCGAATGTATTGTAGACATCGAACGATTCTCGAAGTGGACGCATTTGCAACGCGTCATGGCATACGTTCACCGTTTCACCAACAACTGTCGCAATGTTCGCCTTAACACCAAGGTTCTTACGAAGAAGGAGCTGAAAATGGCCGAAAACTCAATTTTCCGACTAGTTCAGTGGCAATCCTTTCCTGACGAGATTATCACCCTGTCTACAAATCGTTTCCTCCCGTCAGAGCAACAACGACCGTTAGAGAAATCCAGCACTATCTACCAGGTCACACCAATGCTGGATGAATTTGGAGTTCTACGCGTGAACGGCAGAATCGCGGCAGCGCAATGTGCTTCAACTGATGCCAAATACCCCATCATCCTTCCGAGGAAACATCGACTGGCAGCGCTTCTGGTGGATCACTATCATCGTCAACTCAAGCATGGCAACAAAGAGACCACAGTCAATGAGATTCGTCAACGTTTTCATATTCCGAAGCTTCGCTCTTTCGTGAATTTCGTCACAGCTCGGTGCAATCTTTGCAAGATACGGAAAGCACGACCGAGCATTCCACAGATGGCCCCACTTCCGCAAGCCAGATTATCACCATTCACCCGTCCATTCAGCTACGTTGGACTGGACTATTTTGGTCCCTTTCTTGTGAAAGTTGGGCGTAGTAAAGTGAAAAGGTGGATTGCGCTCTTCACTTGTCTGACGATACGAGCCGTCCACCTGGAAATCGCGAGCAACTTGACAACTGAATCCTGTGTAGCGTGCGTTCGTCGATTCGTGTGCCGTAGAGGATTTCCCGTTGAAATCCACAGCGATAACGGCACCAACTTTCAAGGTGCAGAGCGATTACTACGTGAGCAAATCAATACCAAGCTTGCGACTACGTTCACCAGTTCAACAACAGTTTGGCGATTCATTCCCCCGGGTGCACCTCACATGGGCGGCGCCTGGGAGCGAATGGTCAGATCCGTGAAAACAGCGCTGACGGCAGCCTATAACACGATGATTGTAGAAGCAGAATCCATAGTCAACAGCAGGCCGTTGACCTACCTTCCGCTGGACTCTGCGGAGCAGGAAGCAATCACCCCTAACCATTTCCTTCTAGGGAGCTCAGCTGGCGTCAAGCAACCAGTCGTGCAGTACGAAGATAACAACGCACTCTTGAAGCGATCGTGGGCCATGATCCAAGAACGGCTGAACTCGTTTTGGAAGCGGTGGGTACGGGAGTACTTACCCACACTAACTAGAAGAACGAAATGGTTTGGCTCGGAGAGGAATGTTGCAGCAGGGGACCTAGTAATAATCATAGATGATACCAGAAGGAACGGATGGACGCGTGGTCGCGTTTTGGAAGCCATAACTGCTGCGGATGGCAGAGTTCGGCAGGCGATCGTTCAAACGAATGGAGGTATACTCAGAAGACCGGTCTCCAAGCTTGCAGTTCTTGATGTGGCCAAGGAAGATGGAACCAAGGAGGCTCACTGGTTCCACCGGGGGGAGAATGATGCCACAAAGACAGACCAGCTGGGAGCCCGGCCACGCAACCGAGCATTGAAGCTGCGTTCTTCATGCGTGACGGTAGGACTAACTGTCAACAATGACAAAAGGAACGACGAACAATGATATACGGGCAGACGCCAATGAAACTATTAATATAACGTGTTCTAAGAGAAAATATTGAATTTACTAGTGAAATTTGTTGGATACTGGAATTGAAATATTACCGGTTTATTGCAAATAAATAGAAATTTGGAATAGGTAATATATAGGTATTAACGTAAAAATATTACTCAATTACTGAATATGTTTAGGTCCAGGACCATCTGTAAAGCATAGTTGAAGTGAGCAGTGGATTCGAGTAATTGGGCTACTGAATCGTAAGTAAGGTTATGGAGGAAATTAACAGTTTATTAATTATTGTACACCTATTTTAGTTTTGAAACAACCGATAATAAAGCTGTCGAAAGTCAGAACAAGCTCAAACGGATATCCTGCTCTCTCTGATAACACCGAGCTCGAATCACAAACCAATGCATTAATGAGTGTTTTTTCTAATACACAGAAAATTACATATATTCAAAAAGTACGAACTTAATACATTACTACACAAAATACACGTTTATTCGATAAAAAATAATTGGGTTGTTTAGCTTCGAAAAATATACCGATTTTTATACATCATCTGATAGAGGTTCGTTTTCTGAGCACAACGATATTTTTATCGATCCCGTACACGAAACGAAAATCAATTATTTTATTCATGTGTTTCACTTATACATTTTTGCCAAAACATCAGCCTTATACATTCTATAAGACAAACCACATAGGCCCTATAAGAATGCATAAAAGGTATGTGTGACCGCTTACACATTTCATTTCACACATTAGCTTCATTAATTTTTTGCAAGACGTCTGCTTATTAGTTGACTTATTCATTTTATAAATAATCAGCAATAGAAATTTGCCAAAAAGTATAAGGAGATTTCTATCCGTGTAACATTCATCTCGATTTTTAAATCAAGATTTAAATTTTTGATCGTTGACACTAAATCTATTCGTTGACAGCTCGCTTCGATACAAAGTCCCACCAAGGGGCGCTAAGATGGTGATTTTTGCTAATGTAATCACTCTTATTTAAAATAGTTCCAAGTGTACCAAAATTGATGAAATTTTGGATTTCGGTTCCATTTTTAATAGAGTTCTCTAGCACCGTTAGTATTAGTGAAAAGTTTCACTAATACATGCATTTTACCTGTTGAAAATAAAAAAAAACAAACCGCTGTCGAGTCTAACACTTTAACAGCTGATTTAGTCGTTGAAAATAATAAACAAATCGATTTTACACGAATACACTAGCAAGGTTGTGTTAGTGAGATCTTACGTCGAGAAGGCAATAAGTCAATGCAGATAACGAATATGTATTTACCCCAAGACCCCTAAACAACCCAATTCAATACGTTCATCAATACGTTGGCCTGAATCGAAACACACAAGTGAATAGCCCCTCGGGTAAAATTGAATAGTATTACTCGCTTCGCGTGTCACGTATACACAGAAAAAAAGTTGTTGATTATTACATCCAAACCAGGTCAATCCATCGGTTGTGTAATATAACGTTGTACGATGTACATCGATTTTGCGAACAAAATTACATCCATTGATGTAATATTGTATCTGCTTTTTGCTATTACATCATTATTAAATGAAATTGTCATACAATCATAGAGGTAACTCTAAGACAAGTAGGTCCCGAAGAAACGTGCTCAACTTTTTGGCTCACCTCTGGTACTATCTTCGGTCCCAAGCTTGTCGAATCACCCCTCGAAACATAGGAAAAACCAATAACCCCTCATTTTATCTGTCAAACTTTCATAGCGAATCAAAACACACATTGCGTAGTACTAGAATTTCGACTAGAATAGGGTACGTTAATCGTTTGCTTGGGACCAATAGGCTACTAAAGTGGTGAGCCAATTTAAAATCGTTAGTTTCGTATTGATTGTTGATACAATTGGGTTCTTTAATTTTGAAAAATGTATCGTTTTTTATACATCATCTGAAAGAGCTTCGTTTTCTGAGCAAAGCGATATTTTTTTTCGAACCCACACACTTTCATCTCGATTTTTAAATCAAGATTTGAAGCAAAATAATAACTTCACTGTTTGACGCTAAACTAACAAACTGACAGCTCGCTCCCATACAAAGTGACACCGATGGGCGCTAATAAGGTGATTTTTGCAAATATAATCGTGCTTATTTAAAATACACAGAAAAAAAAGTTGTTGAATATTACATCCAAACTGCTGCAACCAGGTCAATCCATCGGTTGTGTAATATAACGTTGTACCATAGAGGTAACTCTAAGACTAGTAGGTCCCGAAGAAAATCATCATTATTTTTGGCTCACTCAGTACCAGAACAACGGTCCCAAGCAGTCCCAAGCTATTTCACTCACCCCTGCATGTTCTGCATGAATCCACACACCCCTGATGTTATCTGTTAAACTTTCATAGCGAATCAAAACAAACATAGTGTAGCAATAGAATTTCAACTAGAATAGGGTACGTTAATCGTTTGCTTGGGACCAATAGGCTACTAAAGTGGTGAGCCAATTTAAAATCGTTAGTTTCGTATTGATTGTTGGTTGTACGATGTACATCGATTTTGCGAACAAAATTACATCCATTGATGTAATATTGTATCTGCTTTTTGCTATTACATCATTATTTCATACACCAGCTTGAATTACATTGATCGATATAACATTTTTTTTTTGCTGTGTAGTTCTAGTGTACCAAAATTGATGAAATTTTGGGTTGGGGTTCCATTTTTAATGCAGATTACGATTATGAATTTACTTCAATACGCTTAAAGAACCCAATTGAATTACATTGATCGATATTACATTTTTTTTGCTGTGTATGTACTCTGGCCGCTGTCAAAAGCTGGGTTAATTGGTGCGAAGTTTGAATGAAAATTAACTGTGTATACGACAGTGTTTCTGAAGGGTTGTGAGACGTCATCATTTTTGTATAATGAAAAGACGTCAAAAATTACAAAAAGTAAATAAAGGTCGAACATTCGATACTTCAAACACCAGAGGCGTTTTATTTTTGTGGTATTGGTGGTTTCTGGTTTGTGGGGCTCTTGTGGTTTTCGTATTTCGTTTAGTGTTGCTATTTCCATGTTTCATGGATCTGTTTGCACGTCTCATTCGTTTAGATTGGCAGACAACCACCGTGAAAGATTATTACATCTTTTCAATAAAGCCGATCGCACGAGCTGGGGAGACTTTCAGTAAAGTGAATGCATCCGTCTCGATCGGTTCGGATTTCCGTGTGGCTCCAGTCGTTCCGATTAGTTATGGTTTTCGGTATCGGTACGGGGTGAATAACAACCAGTTTCGTTGCCATTCAAGAGTGTCCGTTCCATCGCCGCTGTCTGTGTTTCATGTGCAGTTCATGGTAACAAAATACTTAACAAAAAGTGCACAGTGGGAAAACAAAAGTTGCCTAAATGAAAGTGCAAACGAAAGGAAAATTAATAATAGTGTTCACAGATTGTTTTATAAACAAATTCTAAGATTTTGTTGTGTGTGCCCTTCAAACAGTATTTCAAGAAAGTTCAAGAAGTTCAATAACTTCGTTCATCTGACGATTGAGATATAAAATTAAAATAGTGAAACACTTCGCGTTTGCTAGTGGATATAACAAAATCAATAAGAGCACCATGGAGTGTACTATAATGGGTCACCAAAGGAAATACATGACTCAGTTGGTACAAATGCACTCTTCGACAGCATCTAAGTTGTTCTTTGTAATGTCATTGTTCATCATAATTCAATTGGTGAAAGGAGAACATTTCGCAAAGCATGGACATAGCGACGAACTTCATGCGCTCGACCACAAGCATTGTAAGCATCAACACCCTAAAGCACATGAGGTGAGTACCCTATGGCTAGTACTTTTGCAACTTCTATAAAACTGTCATCCGTTGAAGTATAATGAAGGATAAAATAAAAGTCTCGATAAGTCAATTATAAGGCCAAATTTGAACGAATTTGGTTAGTTGCGATCAAGCTTTGCGGGAGAATTTTAATATTTGTATGGAACACGGATAGAAAACTGATTTTGCTTGCCAAAATCTCACATTGCAATATATTGACCACACCTATACATAAATTGGGCAAATTAGGCAAAACAGTTAACTCCAGTGCGTCTGGGTTCAATCCCAGCCGAGGTCGTTTTGATTTTTCAGAGGCGAAAAAAATCTCTGGTCACGTCTTCTTTTGGAAGGGAAGTAAAGCCGTTGGTCCCGGCCCATGTGTTGATGGGTGCGATATTTACTCAAGTGTGGAAGCCCTCTCCGTTGCCATTCGATTACCGTCAATAAATGGCAATCGATGCTCGTCGGTGATTGGAACTGGACTGCGGAACAGAAACCACGTTAAATCAAGAAATCAAAAAGAAGAAGAAGAAGGCAAACCAGCTTTGTCCGAGACCGCAAATCGATTCTACTTCTGTGCACAAAGTTATTAACCAGTTTGTATTCAGCATTTATCAATTTATCATTAATAACATTTGATCGAAAAGTGGTCTTTTTTAAAGTTGAGTGATATGGTGAATTTGTAGAAAAATATAAACAAAACATGTTTTCCCATAGTAATTTTTATATAAACTTCAAATGGTTTGTGCTAAGTCATTTTCTTACCAAACGAGTTCGAATTTTGGAAGGCTAATTAGGACCCTATTTGGGACCGTTTGAGCACTGTGGAGCGAAAATGTCAAATTTTACATCAGTCTACTGGGCCTCCTTAGCACAAGCCCGATGATCTCATATACACCAGGGTGCACTTGGTCAAAAAGTAATCGTTTAATAACTTTTTGCATTGTATATATTTCTCAACCAAATTCTCTGGTATATATCCAGGATTTTTGAAAATGTCTCTGTATTATGTATATTTAAATAAAAGCACTGAAACTTATGATCGCCGCGAATTATTGACAATGATATTGCTCTCGTACCACCAATCCGTAGTCGCGAGTGAGCTGTGATGCGAAGCTAGGCCGCGGCCAGAGTAGACGCGACGCGACAGATTCAAAAGAATCGTATTATTTATTATTGCGTGAGTCGCGTCGCGTGTCGCGTCTACTCTGGTCTTACACTAGCGAAGGAAGAGGAAAAGTGCTGCCGGCCAAAACTTTGCATCTGGTTAAAGTCGAACAGGCAATATAGCTGTATCATGAGAAAAATCTCAATCTGCCACACCTTACCTAACTAACTAGGATGGAGAATGGCTTCGGCCCCCCGAATCCCTATTCCAAGCAGGAGGTAACAATACATTTTAACGCTAATTTTCTGCAATATGATGCTTCACATCATAGAGCATCTTTAAGAAACATTTATGATGAATTTTCTTCAGAAATACCCCAATAGGAATAGGAGCTTCAGCTGTCCCCAACCCTTCCTATTTTTTTTTAAAATAACTAATCACTAATTTTCTGTTGCTCCTCGATCTGCTGACGATTGCCCCCACAAAGTTGGTGCCGTTATTCGAGTGCATTTCGAACGGAGCTCCCCGTCGTGCAACACATCTCCGAAAAGCCATAATACAAGATTGTGATGAAAGGCTGTGGGTAACTTCAAGGTGAACAGCTCTCTGTAAAAAGGGCTATCCATCTCTTCACCAAACTTCGACCGTCTTTTACTTCCAGTGGACCGAAATAGTCCATTCCGACGTATGTAAACGCTCGTATGAATGGTGTGAGTCGAGCACTAGGCAGCGGAGCCATCATTGGGGGCTTGGAAGCTGCATTCTTGACCTTGCAGATCTGGCATTCTCGCGAAACTTACCGGGTTAAGCCACGAAGTCCGGAAATGTAATACTGTTGTCTCATTTCGTTGTGAATTGTCTCATTGTTCGCGTGCAGAAATTGGTTTTTTCCTTGATTTTGTTTTCCGTCGATCTTGTTTTCCATGCTGAGCACCAATGCTACCGACGCCAGAGAGGCAGCTCCCACACCTGGACCCTACCACCTATCGACTCACCAACTCATGAACCGGGGACCAACGGCTTTACTTCCCTTCCGAAGGAAGGCGTGATCAGAGATGTTATGTCTCAGAACATCCTGGCGGCGCTGACTGGGATTAAACCCAGGCCTGCTGGGGTGAGAGGCAATCACGCTTACCACTACACCACCGGCGCCGTTGTGCAGAAATTGTTGATGAAAGCTGTTAATGATGATGTTTTCTGGGAAATATCACGTGATACTTGATTGGAGTAAGACGAATCTAGAGCCGCTTCTACTTCCCATGCGCTCATCTAAGAAGGGAGCCAGCCGTTTAAGGGAGCTTGATTTGGCAATCGTTCGATGATTTTCCAGAATCGCTAGATCATCCGGGTACGCCTCGGCCTGCGCTTGGCTTCCATTATTCTATTTAGTATTTATTAGTATTCTCGGCTTTCTGGATTTCACAACGTTGTAGAGCAGAACCTCGTTCTTGTACTGGAATCTTTTCTTCAGTACGGCAACCACTCGGTGTATGTAGACCATAGCTCTAACCAGACGATTCCAATTGGAAAAACGGATTTCGTTTATCAATTTCTTCATTACACTGTGACGGTGCAAAAGGGCAGGACGAAGTGCTTCACTTGTGATGGCTCCATTCTCAGCTTCCACGGGTCATTCGAAACCCTCTTTCTTAAGAAACTCCGAGCCCTTGAACCAGTGGCTATCAGGATGATAGGCTGGACCAGATACCCACTTAGTGGCTTCGTCAGCAACATTCAATCCTGATGGCTCGGAGATGAACTAGTCAGTTGGCTAAAAATCTCCCAATAAAGCTGTAAAAAATCCTGATGGCGCCGTATTTCCATTCATCCAAGCTGCTCAGAGCTAGTAAAGGGTGATAGGTCAAAATTTGGTCAAGGGAAAACGCGTGTAAATCGGTGAAATCGTTTATTTAAAAAATCAAATTAAATTTCTTTTTCAAGTTCAATTAGTATAAAATTCAGGAAAAATATTCAGTTAGGCTTCCGCTTTTCCAAATCAGAATTGCCGGGCCTTACGCTTGACCCCTGCCATCAGATTTTGTACAGCCACCTTGTCCACCTTCTTCGCCGCAGAAAGCCAGTTTGCCTTGAACTGCTGCTCGCCCTTAGCAGTTTTTTTGGTCTTCTTTAGGTTCCGCTTGACAATAGCCCAGTATTTCTCAATTGGGCGGAGCTCTGGCGTGTTGGCAGGGTTCTTGTCCTTGGGAACCACCTGCACGTTGTTGGCGGCGTACCACTCCATGGCCTTTTTACCGTAATGGCAAGATGCCAAATTCGGCCAAAACAGTACGGAACAACCGTGTTTCTTCAGGAAAGGCAGCAGACGTTTATTCAAACACTCTTTCACGTAAATTTCTTGGTTGACAGTCCCGGAAGCTATGAAAATGCTGCTTTTCAAGCCACAGGTACAGATGGCTTGCCAAACCAGATATTTCTTTGCGAACTTTGACAGTTTCATGTGCTTGAAAACATCTGCTACCTTTCCCCTTCCTTTTGCCGTATAAAACTCCTGTCCCGGAAGCTGCTTGTAGTCGGCTTTGACGTAGGTTTCGTCGTCCATTACCACGCAGTCAAACTTCGTCAGCATCGTCGTGTACAGCCTCCGGGATCGCGCTTTGGCCGTCGTATTTTGTTTATCATCGCGATTTGGAGTCACTACCTTCTTGTAAGTCGATAGTCCGGCTCGTTTTTTGGCTCGATGCACGGTTGTAGACGATACACCCAGCTTATTTGCGGCATCTCGGAGAGAGAGGTTAGGGTTTCGCTTGAAACTACCGGCAACTCTCTTTGTCGTCTCAGCGGCTTCCGGTTTTCGATTTCCCCCCGATCCAGACTTCCTGGCTGTCGACAAACGTTCCCCAAACACTTTAATTACATTTGAAACGGTTGATTTGGCAACTTTTAGCGATTTTGCCAACTTTGCGTGCGAGTAGCTCGGATTTTCGCGATGCGCGAGCAAAATTTTGATACGCTGCTCTTCTTGCTTGGACGGCATTTTGACAACTGAAGAGTGAATTCCAAAATCAAAATAGGAGCAACATTCTACACACACACACCTTCAAAATGAGGGGTGTTCAGGTTTTTTAAATGCAAAATTTAAAGAAATACGTCAAGTTGATATTGACCAAATTTTGACCGTATCACCCTTTATCTCCCCTACACGGAATCCCACGAATTGGTGATGCACAGTTGTTGAGCCCGTCTATATGAAACGTTTACTGATCGGAAGTGCTAGCGAAGATCAGACTGTTTGCATTAGTCGGGTTCCAATCATCCCGGAAAAAAATAACCATACAATTACCATAAAATAAAATACAGTTACAAGTAAATCTATTGCCAACAATCGATCTTATTGTGTGTATATAGTACACGAAGTTTTAGCATATTGTTATTACAATAGATGTACAATACGTCCCATATAGTAAGAGTTTTCAACAATAGAACAACAATACAATTAATGGTAAATGGTTCAAGTTTGTTCGGGAAAAAGTGATTTTTCGTATGGTTAAGATACATAACGACCCCCTTAATCTATTGTATATTCCCCAATTTACCATAGATTCTATTGTAGAACCAATACATTCTATTGTTATTTTATCGTTGTGGATAATACGATTTATTGTAAATACCATAAACTCTATTGTATGGTTACAATACATTTCATTGTACCTCTACGGTTCTTTTTTTTACGGGATAGCTGCCTGTAGTTCCAGCCTGGGAATCGAAAGCGGTTTCATATTCTTCTGGAACTTCTGCAGAAGAGTCGCTGAGTTTCTTCTGTTGGTTCGGATGTCTCACTACTATCCGCAGCGATATCCTGGTCCACGGAATCCACACAGTATATGGAACTTTCTAAAACTCTGCTTCGCCACATGGCATACCCAAGTAA